ATCATTTCTACTAGTATAGTTGTTGCTACTGTTGTTGCTGTGCACCTTTGTCTCTGTCTCTGTCCTTCTCTCTTTACCCCCTCATACTGCTGACTGGGACTAAAAATCAGCTGCAGTTCATAGGACTTAGGTCAGCTTTGGGTCAGTGTCAGCACACATTCATCAGGAGTCTTTAACCTTCACGAGCCACTGATGAGTCAACAGGAGTCAACTTAACACAACAAAATATAATGCGGTTGTGTGGATGTTGTAACATACAATGTAAGGATATGTACTGGCATATTTACTGGAACTCGCATGAAAAAGAGGAACCTGAAAAAAGTGAAGTTGAAATTTCACTTCTGCATACAGACACAGCCTAACTGCAGTTCCTCATTGTTAATTTCTCTTATTATTTGACCAAAGTGCAGCAGGTACACTGTTGGGTGACTGGACCAGGTTCTAATCTTCTCCAAACTCTCACAGTAAAAGTACGGTAAGTAAGTCTTGTGTTTACCAGTTCATGATGTGCATAACTTTGAAACAGTGACTGTTAGCATTTAATGTACTTGAAAAGTAACTATCACCTTAGTTTTCATCTGGCACCATTATCAGATCCACATATTCATTGATAGAACAAATAGCTCCGTTCTACTCTGTTTTCAGACACCATATTCTGAGAAAGATCTGTCTATTGAATATGTCTATTGTCTATTTTAAAACAGTTACATAAATTAAGCTAAACCAGGCTCTCTTTTTATGCCACTGTGGTAAGTGTGAGCACTATGGTGTCAGCAGTTATGTGGCCTATGTGCAGGGGTATAACTCATACATCAATGATCTGAGATACAACAAGAAGGATCTGTAGCAATATCAACAGCACAATAAAAACGCATGTGTCCAGAGTCAAACATACCTGTATCAGCAAAGAGGAGTGCTAATATTGTTGAACACTACTTTAAAAATTGAACAATCAATGACGATATTCAGATAAATGTTAATAATCACAGAGTCTTTCAGCATGCTTTCCACTGCATCTGTGTGTTGCTTGGCAACCATTCTGCTAAATGTCACTGAAGAACTACATTACTTGGTAGCAAAGTGATTGTTTGTTATCAATACGTTATTGCACTTTTGTTGCTGTACATTTATTTTATGAAACCTTGATATGTATAGTAACTGTTTATAATAGCAAGCAGGAGACAGTGATATACAGTGATTTTTTTAAAACAGCTAAGGGGTTATTTATCGTGCCTAACAATGCCCCTAGTTTTTCTAAGATCACGTAAAGCTTCTTGGGCCTTGTTGATTAAGTGTCCAATATTTTGGTTTATGACCTGCAACTCTAATGACATTCCCATCACCCTTGATTGGTGATTAGACCTAATTAGCTAACGTTAGCATGCTAACATATTAAAAAAGGGTGAACATGGTAAACATACAGTGGTGTTTGGAGTCATGAACCTTTATTTTCAAGAACTCAAAGCTAGTGAAACAACAGAAAATTTAAATCTGAAATCGCAATGCAGCTCGTTTGTCAGGCAATCAGAACTAATGTCTGATATTAGCAGGAAGTCACGATGACACCAGAGGACGTTTTGAACACTCTGAAGGATTTACGAGATGAAGAATTCCGGGACTTCAAATGGTATCTGCGGCACCCTGAAATCCTGGAAGGGTACCAAACCATCAAAGTGTCTGAGCTGGAGACGGCAGAAAGGCGGGACACAGTGGATGTGATGATGAACACATATGAACTTCACGGAGCTCTGAAGGTGACCAAGAAGGTTTTAGAGAAGATAAACAGGAACGATCTGGTGCAGAGTCTGCCAGACACCAGCTCAGGACCAGAAGGTCAGTCACACTTTTATTTTATTTGTATTTCAGGTAAAAAGAATCCTGTGCCAACTTTAGGTCCAGAAACCTCGTTTAGAATCACAGTTCTTTCATATACACTTAGGCCCAGGAATATTTGGATGATGACACAATTTTCATGATGCCACCACATTGGATTTGAAATGAAACAACTGAGCTCCAATTGAAGTGTAGACTTTCAGGTTTAATTCAAGGGGTTGAACAAAAATATCCTATAAAACATTTGTATACAAAGTCTCCTCATTTCAGGGGCTCAAAATAATTGGACAAATTAACATTACCATAAATAAAATTTTCATTTTTAATACTTTGTTGAGAATCCTTTGCAGGCAATGACTGCCTGAAGTCTGGAACCCATGGATATCACCAAACGCTGGGTTTCCTCCTTTGTGATGCTGTGCCAGGCCTTTATTGCAGCTGTCTTCAGTTGTTGCTTGTTTGTGGGTCTTTC